TTGTGAAATGCTTTTGGGAATATGCAGACCTCCCAGGAGTATTTCACAACAATAGTTTATACAAAATTTAGGGGGCAAACAGAGTGCATTATGGGCAATTGGAAAATAGAGAATGGTACAGTGGAACCTCCATGAAGGGGGCACCCTCGTGACCATGAAGTGTCCCATTAATATACCTGTGTCCCTTGAATAGAGGGTGGGTGGGGTTTTGAAGTAAAAATGCCTGTTTTATTCCCTTTGAAGCAGCCATCTATTGAAGCAACCAAAAATGCATGATTTAAGCTTTCAATAGCAACCTTGGACTTTTTTAAATTGTAATTTGCCTTGTTAGTAGATTACTGCTACAATAACCTGTCAATAAGTGCAGAATTAATGACAGTACAGTAAAAATATAAAGTGCGTTCATTTTTATTTTGAAAGATATGCAGAAACTGGAACAACTCCGTGTCTCTGATGGCATTGTAATCATTGGCAGCTTAGTAGTTGTCCCCTTAATGGGGGCTGAAATAGCATTTGCAGCACTCAAAAAGTGTCCCAGTCTCCTCATAGAGGTGCCCTTGTAATATAGCTGGTAAATACAAAGCTTATCTGAACGTAGCTGAGAATTTGCCAGGACCAGGAAAAGAGTCTCCTTGTGGAGGTGTCCCATGAATAGAAATGTCCCAAAGTGGAGGTTCCATTGTGCACATGTATGCATAACAACATTTTTAAATTCAACTTTCTGTCTCTATTTCAATATTTTGCACTCAATTTCAAATTTCAGAACTGGTTGGGGTTTTTTGACATGCTCAAAGTCAATCAGCAGGCATAATTGTTTGTTGACATGATGTGGTATACATAATAGTTNTCAATATTTTGCACTCAATTTCAAATTTCAGAACTGGTTGGGGTTTTTTGACATGCTCAAAGTCAATCAGCAGGCATAATTGTTTGTTGACATGATGTGGTATACATAATAGTTGTTTATTTCCTCCTTGTGAAATTCAAGTATGATAATGCGTAGTGTATTTACATGTAGCATTTCAACTGCAACATAAATTTAAATGTAATTGGAAGGATTACCCTGGCAGTACATTGTAAATGGGCATGTAGGCACATTGTGACAGCACTGAATCACTGAATCACTTTTCTGTTAGGACTTTTGTATAACATTCCAAAAAATTGAATTAAACTTTCATATTTGCTTTTTCCCTTATGAAATCACTCTATTCAAACATGTCCATAATTTGAATCAAGGGTGTTTCATTGCTTGGTTGTATAATGCATAATACATGTAGCATTTTCACTGTAACATAAGTAAAAACATCGTTGTCAATTATGCATGTTTTAATTTTAGTTGAGATTCAATTTAACTCTCAGAACTATATAAATGGGAGTGGTACAAAGCTACTCCTCGACAAGAAGGCCAAGCAGTAAAGCTGTCCCGGAAGCCATGGCAAGCTTACAGGATCCTGGGACTGGTACAGTTCTGACCCTGAACAAATTGGTAGTTTTTATTAAGAAACCTCCAACAGCTGTAAGCCTGCACGCTATTGCTGCTTGTGGCCTTACACCCGAAGAATACAGGCTTGCTTTTATAAAAATAGGTGACAAGATAACAGCAGACATGCAGAAAAATGTCATGGATGCTCATCCACAAAAGGATAAGATTGAAGCATTCTTGGCAACATCAACATAGAGTTGCAAACTAGAGGCCTTAATAATGCTGTAATACAACTCTTGTAATAACAATAATATTAACCTG